TCTCAAGAGGGGTGGAAATAAACAAATCAGAGTGATAGGCACTGAACAAAGTCGAATGGTGATTTCCCCAGAGTTTTGGTGGAATCTTACTGGCTGATACCATGCAGAATTGACTATTGGAATTCGAAACCAGTTTCCAGAATTCTCTGCTATCTTTTGCCTTAGCAGCTTTGATCAAGGCCAACCATTTGGTTTGAGAGTCGGCTAACTTTTTGGCTCTCAAAATTGCCTTGTATTCTTTTTTCTTCTTTTGGATTTCAGCTGCTAGGATAGGATTTGGAGCACTTTGAAAAGCTTTGAAGATCTTAATTAGATTTGCCTTAGCCTGCCTGCAGTCCTTATCAAACCAGCTATTAGAGCAAGATCTCCTTACATAGGTCACAGAGACTTCTCTTGAAAAAAGAGGGGTTAGTATGGAAGTTAAATGGGTCTATGTGGTCAGAGGAGAGGGGTCTTTCTTTGCTTGATTAACAAAATTACTGAAGAAGATTTCCCCTTGCTCTGACAAAGTCCACTTAAGGAACTTATCATTTAACTCCTCATTCCACTTACGTTTCTGTCTACCAGTCGATGGCACTTGAGCGGGATAAAATACACGCTTGTTAGAAAAGCCGTCTAAATCCTTTGGCCAGCTCAATATAAGGGGAAGATGGTCACTTTCAGTTCTTGCATCTACTAACAGAGCGGTAACTCTTCTAAAGAAATCTTGTGAAGACAGTAAGTAGTCAATTGTTGTATGCTTAGAGCCGGCCCAAAACGTGAATGGTCCGTAAGCATTCATCATCACGTCCCAAGTGGATTCTGCAACCCAGAAATACCTTGGTGTGCTGTTATACCCTGAAAATTAGAGAACTGACCAAAAGGCTACCTGAGCCAAAAGGGGTAACAAGCACAACAGTGTAAAAGTTTCTTAACCACATTTGCAGTTTGCAGACACTTGAATTAATGACATTTTCACATAGACTCTTAATAACTGAAAGGAATTTACCAACTTATACTAACTTGTTTCCTTATTTGTTCTAACTTTGTAAAGTGCAGTTGAAATTGGCAGTATGAGATTGAACCAGTTGGGAAATTCTGACCCCTAGTGGCAAGAGCAATCCTTATGTAGATCTAGGTCTTGTGACAAGGGTTAACTCTATTCTGCTCCCTCCCTCGTTATTCTAGAGAATTCTTCTATAGCATGTCCACATTAAAGAGATGCTTCCACATAAGTGTCTCTTCTTGGAAGCATCTGTTCAGTCTTCCAGGGAAGTGTTTCTTTGATGTTATGCCCCTGTCCCTAAAGCCCTATGAGCTACACAGTGTGATGGAAGCTTCCATGGTGGAGTATACTACCAGACTAAATTTCATGATTGCCATGTCTGTGAGCTGGGGCACAAATGCCTCATTCATTAGGAGACAGGCTGCCAGAAACAGTATTTTTGCATCCCTGTCCTGGATGAAATCTGAAGTATACCATTTGGAATTCTCTATCATAGCAGGCATGATCATCTGTACACCTTTCCTTGTTAGAGGTCACTTTACGAAATGGCTGTAGGCATAACACCGGCTGTGCCTCAGGGCCCATATTTGCAAGATGGAGCCAATAGCAATGAGCTATTGTACAGAGATGTTCTAAGGAAAAAAGTATAAAGTCCTCTATACACCTTGAAGCACTACACAAATGTTAAGTAGCATATCATTTCCACACGAATTGCATATATGGTAATCTTACCTCAAACGAATAGGCTTTTCCAATCCCATCCCCTGCTCCTGTGATCACTAAAGGAGGAAAAGGCAAGTAAATGCTTTCGATTTCTGCTGTCTTGTTCTTCCTAGTATTATTTACTTCTCAGTTGTTCAGGATTTTTTGTGTGTCCTAGTCTTCTTGGTCTTCAGAGTGTTTAGAAAAGCGACACAATATATAATTTGGGATAAAAATAATAATAATGCAATTAGTGAACTAACCCAGTAGACAGAAAAAGGAAAATATACTACAGCACAGCCAGGGCCGGTCCGAGGTTTTTTTGTGCTCTAGGCGGGGCTACCTTCTGGCGCCCCCCCCACGCATCCACCAATTATGGGGTTGCCAACCTCCAGGCAGGGCCTGGAGAGAAGTCGCCTTCCTCACCCCCCCCTCCGCGAAAGAAGCAAAAGCCTCCGGAGGCAAAAAGACTGGACTGGATGCCAGGCGAGCAGAGGCCGGAAGGAGCCCACTCACCTTAACACGCCGCCCTGCCAATCTGGGGAGAACTTGCCCCCCCAAATCCGAGGCAGGCTTGAGGCCCCCCCCCCGGTGCTGCTTACTGGCCTCAGCAGCTGGCAAAAGAGGATAGTGGACTGGATCGGGTGGGCCGTCCCTCTGCAGCTGCGCCTGGCTCGTCTGCTGGAGCTGGGCTGGTGCCACGCAGGAAGGAAGGCAGGCAGGAAGGGAGCCGACGACTGGGCGCTCCTCGTGGCGGGGACCAGCCGTTTGCACCCTTTGCCGTGACCGCAGGTGGGCTGGCTGGCAGGCGGGTGTGGGCACTCCTGGCTGCCGGGCGATGCAGCCCTCGTCCCTGCCCCTGCAGCAGCAATGCCAGCAGGAGGGAGGCTGGTGAGGCGGGGGGTCCGGGTCCAGTTTGGCGCCCTAAGGGCCGACCCGCGCTCTAGGCAAATGCCTAGTTCATCTAGCGGGTGAGCCAGCCCTGAGCACAGCTCTATAGACTTTCATGACAGGCTTTTCAAATAAGTATTTGTGTCTTATGAGATCTACTTTGGGGTGAGGAAATGATACTTTCAATTAAAAAACAGATCTCCCACCCAGTATACTGATGAGGTACTATAAAATAAGAGCACAATTTAATTGTATTTTTTATTTGTTTTTCATTTCAATTTTTGTTCATCTTAGTTTTTAAAGATCCATTTAAAACTGAAATCTGAATTGAATACAAGCATGGTGCAGCCTTGTCTATACATTAAATGTGCAATCCTAGAAATGTGTAACTTCTTAGGATTGAACTGTTGATCTCTTAAAACTGGACCCATAATCTTGTAACAAATGACTTAATAAACTGCTTTTTAAACTTGAAGAATTATTGATGCAGTGTGAGGAGAGGGGAGGAGCAGCTAAGAAAAAGACAGAAAGTGGGGAAAAAATGCACTGGGGAGCATGCACAAGTTCTACATATGCCTAATATGGGATTTCTGAATTGCAGGAAGGGACTTCATGCACCAGCAGAAACCAAGGGGCCATGGTACCTTAAAGGCCATGAAAGCAGTTAAAGCTTGTGCTCCCCCAAAATTGTGTTAAGGGGGCTGGAAGAATTTTTAGGAGACAAATAAGGGAAGATTCATCCTGCTGGGCAAATTAAAATAATACAACATTAATGAATGCAAACTCTGGGGACTATACTGTGCTTTAGGAACAGAGAATGGCAGAACGTCAGATATCTCTTATATAACAACGCTAAGGACCGTTAGGTTCCATAAGCACCAGAAAATTGTATCCAATGAACAGAGGTTTTTCATAACAGCAAATTCTCCTGCATTTTCAAATTGATAACAATTAAAATATATTATATATTACCAAACTTAAAGCATACCAACAAAAGTAATGTGCCTGTTTCTGAAAGATGGAGATTTTGATATCATATTAGATTTGGTATTACATTCAAAAACAATTGCCCACTATCATGTCCCTTCAAATTTATTTTCCATTTTAAATACAGTATAGCCTTGTCACACATTCTGGTTTAAAAGAAAAACACATAAAAGTGGGATAATAGCATTGATTAATAGACTAGCCATGTATTAGTCGACCACAACAACAGAAAAGTGAGGAAACTTGGTTTACCTGCCCATTCTCCCATTGACTGAAAAAAAGACTGAGGTACTGGACTCCATATACGTGGGAAGAAATATTTCAAAAACCAAATGCAGTTTACCAGACAAATGAAACAAGTGATGGCCCCAACAAAAGTGAAGAGCCAGTCCTGGAATTCTTCCATCACAAACCAATGCCGCAAGCTTGGAGAGATATTGCTACTTTCTCTTTTCTGTTGTACTGCTACTCCGAGTTCTGGCAAAAAAGAGCAAGAACAGTGTGTCTAATCAAAACCCTTGAGTCACGTGGGGTGTTTTTCCCCATGGAAGTTATTACAGAATAACCTTCTCAACCCAGATATGTAAACTATAGGATCCAACCAAACCAAGCCAACACATCTAAAGCAAGTGTACAAATATGTCATCATTCTTCAAAAAATGACATGAGATAAAAATAAAAGTTTGAATTTGTTTAGATGAATATGAAGGGGTTTTTTCCTGGCAAGCACCTGCTTTTAGCACAGATAGAGTTTTTTGTTTATTTGTGGACTTTTGGTCCTTGCTGGCTCCCTGTATCATACTGGACCTGATACAAAATCCTACGTATATTTCTACCCAATGCTTAAGAGTATTGATTGACAGAATAGGATATTGCCATTGACACTGCTGAATTGGCTGCTGCCTGTGCATTACACTGCCTTTATGATAACTGACTGTGCTGTTGTCTCCTGGTTTCTCTTTGGACACAAGATTCTTTATAAGAAGGTTCAGGTTTGTATTCAGTACCTATGGAGGCTAGGGCCTCCCAAGGTGGAGCATGTCTCCATGAAAGTTCATTTTAAGCCATCCAAGAGACTCCAGTTTTGGCCTGCCATCACTGCTAGAAACAGCAAAATACAATCATTTTTCTGGAAAGCAAATATATAGTATGAGATTGAACTGATAAAACCCCACTGACAATGGAGACAATTGTTTTGAGAGAACTGAAAGCAGCTTGAAAGAAGGATCACTACTTGTGGTAGTTTCAGGTGGGTAGCTGTGACAGTATATAGTAGCAGAACAAAATAAGAGTCTAGTAGGACCTTAAAGACCAGCTACCTTTTCCAGGGTATAAGCTTTCATGAGCGAAGATATCTGATGAAGTGAGCTCATGAAAGCTTATACCCTGGAAAATTTTGTTGGTCCTTAGGATGCTACTAGACTTGATTTTTTTTCTACTTGTGGTAGGTATACTTAGCCTACCTTTACTTCTGAAAAACAGGTTTTGCAAGGGGGAGGGGTTGTAATTAGGATGCTTCCCCATGGTTTGCATCATATGTCTTCAAGTTGTGATCAGCACAGTTGTGTTCATCTATATTTGGCCATTACACATTACACAATTGTGCATGCATACTCATACTGCTTTCCAGTGGTTTCTTCCCATATATTGTTCACCACATTCTTTAAGTATCTCTATATAATAATCCTCTTAGCATATTGGCCATTTCCAGCTCTCCCATTGACTGTGCAATGTGCTCCATCAGCCATTGGCCCATCAGCCACCACTTAAGAGTACTCGTGTGCCATTGGCTGGGGGCTGGGTCTGCTCCTCTTCTCTGCCCGTTCCCACTTCAGCCACTGTTCCCTATCAGAATAACTGGCAAATGGTTCTCTCTCCTGATGAAGACACTTCTCCTGCTTGGCTCCTCTGCGGGACTAACTTTTCCCTCAGTGGCTGTTGGTAGGCAACCAAGCTTGGTTCTGTCAGTAAAAATACAAAGGAAGGAAACCCTTTCCAGGCCTTTGTGAGGAATTCATTGAGGCCAGTCCTGACTAGGGTTCCCAGCTCCAGGTTGTGAAATTCCTGGATATTCTGTGTCTAAGGAAGCCAATCTAAGGAAGTCAGTATATAGTTTGGGGAGGGTTTGGGGAGGGGAGGGGAGAGACCTCAGCTGAACAGAACGCCATAGAGCCCACCCTCCAGGGGGAGATCTGCTGTCTGGAGTTCTGTTGAGATACCCAGCGATCTTCAGGCTCCACCTGGAGGTTGGCTACCCTAGGCATAGCAGTTAGCTCTTCAAAGCTAGGTCTCCCAGACCCAGGTTCTTGCTGTGGAAACTGTGATTTCAGACCAGTCACAGGCTTTCAGCGTAACCCCCTCCCCTGCCCACTGCCAGTTTGGCCACTTTCCAGTCAGAATAAACTGAAAATTGCTAGGCAATCAAGCTTGGTTCTTTCAGTAAAACAGGGTTGTTGTACAAGTCAAAAGGGGGGAGGAGAATGATGTAAGCTGCTTTGATTCCCATTGCAGAGAAAAACTACTTTTCCTCCTGGGGAACCATTGTTGCCAATCTCCAGGTGAAGACTGGAGATCACTCAAAATTATGACTGCTCTTCAGGTAGCAGAGATCAGTTCCTCTGGAGAAAATGATGGACTCTGTGTCATTATACCCTGCTGAGGTCACCACAGCAAATTGACGCTGAGTGCCCAAGGCCGGGGCACTCTCCCAGAGCCTCTTTCTAGAGCTCCTGGAGACTTGAGGGGTGGAGCCTGGATATGGTGGGGGCTGAGGAGGGTGGCAACTCAGACAGGTGCAATGCCATAGACTCCACCCTCCAAACCAGCCATTTCCTCCTGGGGAACCATTGTTGCCAATCTCCAGGTGAAGACTGGAGATCACTCAAAATTACAACTGCTCTTCAGGTAGCAGAGATCAGTTCCTCTGGAGAAAATGGTGGACTCTGTGTCATTATACCCTGCTGAGGTCACCATAGCAAATTGGCACTGAGTGCCCAAGGCCGGGGCACTCTCCCAGAGCCACTTTCTAGAGCTTATTGTATTTATTTCCACAAGCCTTATTACTAGTATAAAACATTGACATTTTACAGTTAGCAGTTTACAGAGGTGAAGCATCTTCTTCTGTCTTATACGACTGCCTGACAATGGTCATCGATGGCAAAAGCAAGTGAACTGTCCAGATTGGGAATAATATGAATAAATTTGTTCTCACATTGCTTCATGGGAATTGTAACTTAAAAAAAAAATCCCCCTGTAGATCATTTCAATGACTGTGCAGGTGCAAAGAGAGTGCAAATTCTGAATGATCCATTTCTAAAAAGTAGATCACTTTAATGAACTAATCATGATCCCAAATAAAAGATACCTTCAGTGCTGATTAAGAATGTTCTGTCATCTGACCTGGGAGCTACTTCAAGCTTCAGGGCATAAATTATGTCACTTAGCCAGTTGGTGTAGTGGTTAAGTGCGTGGACTCTAATCTGGGAGAACCGGGTTTGATTCCCCACTCCTCCACTTGCACCTGCTGATGTGACCTTGGGTCAGTCACAAGCTCTGGCACAGCTGTCCTTGAAAAAGAGCAGTTTGTGTCCACCCAATCCAATCTCTTCTTCTTCTTCTTATTTACCAAGGCACCACCAGCACATGAAGCAACTTACAAGAACCCTGTACTGTGCAGAAAGTAAGCTATTTGATTTGGTATCCAATTAGAACCTTTAAAAAAACCCACATAAGCGTGACTTGTGTATAAATGCACAGTTTATTAACGGTAAGTTCAAGTGTCCCTCATATCTTCTACTAAGTGTGTAGCATCCCTGTTGAAACACCTGCACAATACATGTTTTACTCCAAGCAACAGGGGCAAAAAAGAATTGTGTGGCTGCACCATGGGGGAAATTAAACCACAGTCAAACCACTTCCAACTCTTTTAAAACTATTTTCCATCCCCATCCTGAAAAGGCCTGGTCCTCAGAGATCGTGGCGAGAAACATACTTTATAAAAATGACTGAGACTTGGCAGTTTGAATGGATTGAGGCAGCTGTAATTATATTGTTGTGGAGATTGTGGAAGACCACTTGGAAAGCTTATGTGTGACGCATTTACCCAAGAAATTCCAACTCCCTCATGTAGCCATTTGGCTTCCCACCTAGGTAGCAAAAGATAGGATCAGATGTACCACTGGGTGGAGAGAGAGCAGTGTCTTCCTTCTTCACCCAGACTTCCTTGACCTGCATAAGAAGCTGTGACTCTAAATCCATTATTTAGAAATGTCCACACATTCACTTCCAGACATAAATGAATCTGTCCTCACACACATGCAGACAGTTAGGGAAAATGAATCTGTCCTCACACACATGCAGAGTTAGACAAATATTATCAGCTGGAATTTCAATAGAGGAAATGAGGCATGGGGCAGTTATGAAATCCACCCACAACAAATATGCAACACTTTAAACCAAGCAAAGAATGCAGGTCTCCTGACTCCATAGCTGTACTAAGGAGTCTGACAGGAGAGAAAAATAATGAAACCCACAAAGGATGCAAAAGGGTTTATTGCAATAACAATGTACATAAGAGCCCTGCTGGATCAGACCAGTGGTCCATCTAGACCAGCATCCTGTCTCACAGAGTGGCCAGCCAGTTCCTCTGGAGGGCCAACAACAGGGCATAGAGTGCTGGCACTGGGATTAGGGACCGAGGCATTCCTCTGATGTTGCCTCTTGACTCTCAGGTTCAGAGATTTACCGCCTCTAAATATAGAGGCTCCTCTTAGTCATTATAGTTAACTGCCACTGATAGACCTGTCTTCCATTAATTTAATCCTTTTTTAAAACTGTCTATGCATGTGGCCATCACTATATCCTCCAGAAGTGAATCCCCATTTTAACCACTTGTTTAAAGAAGTATTTCCTTTTGTTCACCTTGAATCTACTGCCCATCAACTTCACTGGATGACACGTTCTAGTGTTTTGGGAGAGGAAGAAAAAGTTATCTCTGTCCACCCTCTCTACCATGCACATAATGTTATAAACCTCTATCATGTCCGTCATCTTTTTCTAAACTAAGAAGTCTCAGAATCTTCTACCTTGCCTCATAGGAAAGGTCCTCTGACCCCCAAATCATCTTGGTTGCCCTGCAATGTCATTTTGAGATACGGTGACCAGAACTGCATGCAGTATTCCAAGTGTGGCTGCATCATAGAACTGTACGGAGGCATTATAATACAGGCTGTTTTGTTTTAAATGCCTTTCCTACTAACCCCCAGGATAGAATCTGTAAGAAAATTATGCTAAAGCCTTTAAAGCATCTGCTGCTAGGGATGTTAGCTTCCACATGGGACCTGGGGATCCCCAGAATTGCAGCTCATCTTCAGAGTAGAAAAATCAATTCGCCTGGAAAAAATGAATGATTTGGAGGGTGGCCTCTATCAGGCCTGTTGCTACAGTTGAGAATTTTGGGCCCCGCCCCCCCCCCCGACTTCTTGCCAAGGCCCCATGACTTCCTTTCAGCCCAGGCCCTCTGACTCTCTGGCAAGATGTGTTGGCTGCCACAAACTCCCCCTGTGCTGCCGGGGCCACCGGTTCTCCTTGCCTTCCCCCTTTCTCTGGGCCAGTCCCCGCTCCCACCTCTGTGACTCAGCATGACTCCATCCCAGCTTGGAGGTCGGGGAGCAGCCTGGGGGCTTGGAGCTGCAGAGGGGGGGCAGGCCAGCACTCTGTTTATGTGCCTTGGCCTGCCACAGTCCAGAAAGCTGTGGTCTGACTGAGCCGCCTCCCAGCCTACTCCCCATGGCTGCCAACCAACTCCTCCAAAGCATCTTTTCTGCATTGGAGGAAGGCAAGCAGGCAGGCTGGCAGCTGGGGTGGGTGGAGGGGAACGCCAGGGAGGAGGCACAAGATGCCCAAGGTCAAGGCAGGCAGAGCTGACAACCAGGTGGAGGCTGCCACCACTGCACCCAAGAGCGCCAAGAAGCCAGTAATTAAATTACTTTTAACCAAATTAGCCAGTGCCCCCCGAGAAATTAAAATGCCCCCGACTTAGACATTCCTGGCAAAGGACCTGGCCTCTGTGGCACTGTACCCCACTGAGGTTCCTGTCCTCCTCAGGCTCCATCTCCAAATCTCCAGGAGTTTCTCAACCACGATCTAGCAATGCTACCCCTCCATCTCCCACTGGTGGCCAGGGGAGACCTGGCAACCCTATCTACGGCTTTTCATCAGAACTACTGCAAAAGTGAAGTTAAAATAATACACAGAATCTAGGGTATTTTATATACAGAATTATTTGAATTTGAATTGAGCCACATTGAGAACATTTAATAAAATACCCACTTGAAAAAAACATTTGTCATGAATTAATATCCTCTGAGAAAGTAGACATAAGTATTGGTATTGTGTCCCCCTTTAAAAAGAAGTTATATGTATAAAATATTAAGCTATGTTCAGCCTTTCCCTTACTCCCCAATCTTTCACCAAGCTATGTTCCTTTTGATTTCTGTAGTATTATTGCCTTTTTTGACTGTCAA